AACCAAGCAATAGCCATCAGTTGACATTCGTTAAATAACGCTCCTTCAGGTTCAGGAATTGGTGCGAATCCAATTTACAATCATTCGTCGAGCGTGTTCCCGCACCTCGGGTTTAAACATTCCACTCAGAATATTTTCAAACCCTTTCATGTGCCCTCGTCATTCCAACTACTGTACCTCAACTACTTCCCAAATTTGTAAAATGACGGAGATGAAGGACCAAGGATTGGCGGAATCCATTCGGCCAAGATGTAACTCAACCTACCCCAGGCTGGCGTGTTTCTAAAGAAAAACCCGACTGGCTTCGTTCGTCTCTTATTTCGTTTATAATATTCATCGTTTTTTGCAAGTCTGTTCCTTCACAGTCATGTCCACATTCGCCGATAAATTGTAGCACTTCTGATCTAGTCAAAATTTGGGTTGAACTCCATTGAGTTAAAATATTAGTTTGACTACCCGAGCGAGATGATATGGGTACGAAGATTTGTATGCTCGTAATTGGTCACCGCAGGTGGGTGTGATTGCGTCAGTTCATCTTGAGTTTTTGTTTTGATGTTAAATAACTGTCCTCTTGGGATTTGTAGGATGTAAATCATGGGGCGATTCCTGACATTGCGGTTGATGCTAGTGTTGATTGGATGTTAGATGATGGAAAACCAAGTGAGTGAATTACCCATTAGATTCTGCTTTATTACTTTTTGGGTTGTAAAGCACCGACTCAAATATATGGTCCTTATCAAGATTGGTGTGTTTGCTGCCCATTTTCCTTCTCACCAGTTTAGGGCGACTGTCGAATTTGTTGTTGGCTGGTCGGCCAATAGTGGAAGCTTGTGATGTTCCCGTTTTAGGCTATGTCCACTTCACTTGTCCCTTTTCAGCATTATGTGACTCCCGTTTTAACAAAGACAAGACACATTCGCCTTATTATTATGTGACGAATTTGTGGATGTATTGTGCGCTTCACTTCCTATGGGTAAGGGGCGATTTACTGATTCCCCGCATATTTTTAATCCGATCCTCATTTCATGCTGATCTTCTCACACTTTGATCCATGACAGATATTGTGGTCGTATTAGTTAGCTGAATTGAATACAGAGTGGATTGAAGACCGGCCTACCTGTCCGTACGCGTAGCCACTGTTACGCACAGTACCGCCCTTCACCAAGATGTTATGATGCATTTGCATCATAACGAACCAGAAGCCTATTTGATACGGTGAATTTTGATGGAATTTGTCTGTAACCTTCACTCGTTTCTGTTACTCAGTTATCCATATTGTTTTTTTCGTGCCTTAGCAAATTAGCACGAAGTGTGAGCAGCGTGAAGACATCGGGATTCCATTGTCTGTGTGACATCTTGTGGATGTTGACGAGGTGTGCTTACCATATTGTCCGTTCGCAAACCGCACTGCTTCATATTGCTTAACCCCTCGTCGCTAATGCCACTGATGATTTACAGATTTCGTTATGTGAGCACACATATCACAAATGTGTGGCATGCGTTGCATATCAGTTAGTGTTTGTTCCGGTAAACCATGTTGCAGGGTGACGTGATGGCATGTGCATTTGAGTGGGTCGAAAGACAACGATGAATGGTGTCAGATGAGAGCGTAAGCATCTGAACTGTGGTAGTGGATTTGGCTCTGACACCTCCTTCTAATGCGTGTCACGGAGTGGACAATATTGCCCATCTACCACGTGGATTGTCACTTGCGCTTTGGCAGCATTTGCATTTCCAGTGAATCTAATTT